TATGAACAGCTCTGAACTCTGTCCTATCCTTTGCCATCCTCAGCATCTCTGACATACTTGAGTCCATTGCTGCAGTCACTTGTCAATCATATACTTGTTTATGAAAAAAATTGATAAATGTAACTACATCATCTATAATTCTCTTTTATATTATATAACCGATAATATTTTCAATTTGACATTCAAATTATGGAATCAAAATGAAAAATAACGGCATAATATAAGCTACAGTGAAGAAATACTACAGGACGAGGTGCTTATAGTAGACAACCAAAATGAGAAAAGATGTGAGACATGATCATAATTTTTATCTATGCAAAATTATAAGGAAAATGGGAAATCTAAGTGTTTCTGTCAGTATATTTAGTACAATAAATACCTGAGCAATAACAGAGTTAAAGAATTTGTGTGAGTTGTCCCGTTTCTTACAAATGCTAATCCTTCATCTGAAATTTAAAGAGAATTAAGATTTGATATGAGAAAGTTTGGAATCTCCATCAGGTGATGATCTCCATCATGTGAGAGTTGATTCAAATGGGGTGAATGGAAGTGCCTAAAGTTAAACCCATCTGAAGAGTAAGAACTGGACTGTTATTCTAGGCTCAACTACTGCATTTTCTCCTATTGTGGTTTTACAAGAGGCCTAAGCAGAATGCCCTTCAACATCCTCTTAGATATAATTATTTGGAAGTCTCTAGGAATATGCAGCAGCTTCACATCTTTGAAGGGATGGCCTTGTCTGGGATGGCATTCACTACAAATACCAAAGACCATATAAGATGATAGCCTTACTGAATTTAGGTGAAGATTAAAGTCAGTTGAATGAAAACAGTTTCAAGATCTTTGAAAGTGCTGATTTGGAATGTAATGGGAAATATTTGGAACATTGGTGTATTGTGGTTACTGCTAGTCCCTGTGGCAGTTGAATGTTGACAGAGGGTTATGTGTAGATATAGATATGTTATTGTTATTATTGTCTTGTGCTATCAAATCAGAATTGATTGATAGCTTACCCTAAGTGGGTTTTCAGAGGTTGTAAATTGCTTGAGAGGAGATAGCCTATCTGGCAGGTTTGAATTTTTTTGGTTTTGGGTTGCTGGTGCAACGCCAAACCCACTAGGCCATCAGAGCTCCAGATATAGATATGGTTATACATCCTTCCTATGACATACAGAGGAGTGGAGTTTTTGTTGTTTTCTCATGGAAGGCCTAAAGATAGTGTCTTTGAAATGTTTTCTTTCATGAACTCATGTCTAAATTAAGTGACTTTAGAAAATGTGTGAACAACTATAAAATTTGTTGTCTGGTAAGCAATATATTCATAGCTTTAGTTTGCTTGACTCCATAGTCAACACTTTTGGCACCAGCAGCCAGGAAATTAAAAGACGTGTTGGAATGGAAAAGTCTGTTGTTAGGGACCTCTTCAAAGTACTGAAGAGCAACAATGTCATTCTGGAGCCTAAGGTACACCTGATACAGGCCATGGTCTTTGCAATCACTTGCTATGCATCAGAGAGCTGGACAATGACTAGGGAGAATAGAAGAATTGTTACCTTTGCGCTGTGGTGTTGGAGAAAAGTATTGAATATACTGTGGACTTCTAAGAAAATAAACAGGTTCATCCTTGATGAGGGTTAAACCTGACTGTTCCTTGGAGACAAGGATTCTGAAGCTTCATCTAACATACTTTGGACGTGTTGTAAGGAGGGACCAGTTCTTGGAGAAAGACATCATGCTTGGGAGGGTGGAGTGACAGCGCAGGAGGGGAAGACCCTTTGGGGTGGATTGATTCAGTAACTGGGGCCATGGGGATAGGTGTGTCGGAGACAGTGAGATTGGCATGGGTCAGAACAGGGTTTAGAGCTGTTGTACTTAAGGTCGCTATGAGTTTCAAGCAACTCAATGGCACATAACAACAAAGCAGTATGTTAGGAGCAACTTTTTTTTAAATTCAGAATGTTTCTGTCTTTGAATTGCTAGTGAACACTTCAGGGACAAAGTAATAAAAACAATTGATCTTTGTTAATTTTTACTGTTGAAAAGTAATGTAAAATTAAATATTATTACTTCCTTTTTCATTACAAATGTAACAAGTAATCAAAATTCTTATAAAATAATACTTGATAGACTATTTGAGATATGTCATAGCTAATTAAAGGACTTCTGGTAGGGTAGTCTGTAGAATATAGCTCTCTTAACCAAAAGTCCTTATACTCTTAATTATGCTCATAGGAAATATATACTTAGACCAAGACGTTCCTGTTCATAGAGAGCAAAGGAACTCTATATAATTTAGTCAGGAAGAGTGTGCATCAGTATTGTGTTATTTCTCTATATCTATTCAGTGCGGTTGCTGAGAAAAATCATTAAAAAAGCTGGACTCAGTGAAGAAGAATGTAACATCAAGTTTGGAGGAAGATTTATCAACTGTTGACATTATGCACAAGACACAGTGTTGTTTGTTGAAAGCAAGAAGGACTTGAATTACTTGCTACAGAAGATCAGAAACTACAGCCTTCAATATGGACTGCAACATGAAGACAAAGTCCTCACTATAATAAAGATTGAAATTGTCAATGATTTTGTCTGTCTTGAATCCATAATCAAACCTTTACTATCAGCAGTCAGGAGATCGGGAGACGTATTTCATTGGGTAAGTGTACTGTGAGGGACCTCTCCAAAGTACTGAGTTGTCAGTTTGATGACTGATTCACACCGTATGTTTTTTTCAGTCACTTTCAGTGCATCTGAGTACTGGACAGTGAATAAGGAGAAGTGATGCCTTTAAACTTCGGTGCTGTAGAAGTTGTTGTTGTGCCCTGTAGAGTCAGAGCCAACCCATACTGTACTCTATGTCACCAGAGCTCCTTAAGGCATGTTGCTAGGAGAGGCTATTCCTTGGAGAAGGATATCATGCTTAGAAAAGTGGAGGATCAACAATGGAGAGGAAGACCCCCCCCCAATAAAATGTGTTGATGTAGTGACAGCAGTAATGGGTTCAAGTGTGTCAGAGATAATGAAGATAGCACAGGATAGGACAGGGTTTAGATCTGTTGTTAATAAGGTCACTATGAGTTGTATGTGATTTGACAGCACCTAACATCAACAACAGCATACACATGTACTTCGCCTCATGAACTACACGGAAATCAGCTTGACCACATCTGTTGAGAGTCAATGGAGAAGCTCAATATTAACAATCAAAACTAAGCCAGCAGGTGACTGTTAAACATCAGTTGTCATGTGTAAGTTCAAAGTGAAGCTTAAGAAAATGAAAAATAAAATATCCACAAGAATCAAATTATGGCCGTTAGTCTTTCCCATCTGAATTTTAAAACCATATTTAAAATAGGTTTGATGCATTGAACCTTAATGACCAAAGACCAGATGAAATGTGGGATGATATTAAGGACCTCATTTATGAAGAAAGCAAAAGGTGATTACAAAGAGAAGAATGATAAAAACAAAATAGATGTCACATGATACTCTGAAACTTATAAAGAAGCCAAAACAAAGGAAAGAAATAAGAGAGCTCAACAGAAGATTTCAAAGTGCAGCTCTAGAAGACAGAGTAAAGTATTACAATAAAATATGCAGTGGGCTAGGGCTGGAAAAGCAAAAGAGAAGAACACTATACACATTTCTTAAGCTGAACTGAAAAACATGTTCTAGCCCTGAGAGTTTCAATACTGAAGGATTCAATGGGCAAAAGCTTAAATGAAAATTAAAAGAAATGTTGCTTTGGGAAAATCTGCTGTCAAGGACCTCTTTAAAGTGATAAAAAAGCAAGGATGTCAGGTTGAAAATTAAGGTACACCTGATCCATATCGAAGTATTCTCTATTGCTTTGTAGCTGTCTAAAAGTTTTATAATGAAAAAGGAAGACCAAATCCATGTCTTTGAGTTGTGGTTTGGCTAAGAGTATTTACTGTAAACCACAGACTGCGAAAAGAACAAACCAGAGTTGGAGGACTTGCAAACCAGGCTGTTAGTTAGAGACAAGGATGTTGAAACTTTGGGTCACATAGTTTGGTCATATTGTCAGTCAAGGTGGGTCCTTTGAAGACTCTCGACTAGATAGGTGGGCATCATAAGTGTAATAATAGATTTGAACATTTTGGAGATCATGAGGATGAATCTAGATAGGTCAAAGTTCAACTGTATTAGTCATAAGGGTGCTGTAAGTAGTAGTTGACTGGAAAGGAGGGCACCTAACAACAACAGCAGCAAAGGATAAATATCAGTTAGGATCTTTGTTTTTATTGATAGAAAACTCAAACTGGATATAAGTAAGCTAACCAAGGGAACTCAGGTTGCCTAGTTATAAGTAAGGTACATGGTTTGAATCCACCAGAAAGGCAATGTTCTGTGCAATTTACTGCCTCTGAAAACTTGCTAGGGGGTTAGCTATTGATTGATTGCAACTCAGTGATACATAATAACAATGGCGCAAAATACAAAAATTAGGTAAAAAGTTTGAGCACACATAACTCTTCAGGTAGAGTTACCAATGGCATAAATTATGAAGCCAAAATACCTGCATTTCTGGTCAGTGTTTTACTTTACAAGCTTCATTTTAAAGCCTTCCTCTTTTGTGGGTTTATCATTCTGCATTTCCCAAGAAGACTGCAGTCAAACTCAGATATTCTTAAGTCTACTTGCAGACTCTACATAATATTAAGTCTGACCACAGTTCTTTCTGAAGTATAAATTGCCATGAAAAATGCACCCTTACTCTAAGAGTGTTAGTCTGTGTTGCCAGAAGTTACAAACTTAAAAAAAAAAAAAAAAAGAAGTTACAAACTGCCAAAGCTGTATTTCCATTAATGCGCCTTTGTAGTAATCAGCTTATACTAGCTTTACTCAGTATAAATCTGTGTTACATGGTTTTCATAATGTTCTCTTGGGATATTTTAATTTATTATTAAAATTTTTAATCTATGTTTAAAATGTCTTTGGGAAATAATAGCTTTTTTTTTTTTTAAACTTTCAGCATCACATCATGGGATTGCTAGACAAACTGTCATGCTTGCTTGGCCTGAAGAAGAAAGAGGTTCATGTTTTGTGCCTTGGGTTGGACAATAGTGGCAAAACAACAATCATTAACAAACTTAAACCTTCAAATGTAAGTATCTTTATTAGATAGAACTATGTATTTTCTGTTAGTAGAGAAAGTTACTATGCAATATTACTTTGTTTGCTGTTATTACTGCACAGTCATGATAAGTATATTGTTGTTATTACGTGCCTTCGATTTACCTATGACTCATAGCAACCCTATGTACAATAGCTCTGAATTTTACCCTATCCTGAGCCAATCTTACTGACTCTGACAATCATAATCCCATTATCCCAGTTACTATGTCAATCCATCTCATCCAAGGTGTTCCTCTCCTATGCTGTCCCTTCGCCCTTCCAAGCATGATGTCCTTCACCAAGGACCAGTCTCTCCTGGCCATGTGCCCAAAGCATGTGAGACAGAGCTTCAAAATCTTTGCTTCTGAGGAGAAACTTGGTTTCCCCTCCAAGACAGACCTGTTTATTTTCCTGGCAGTCCATGGTATGTTCAATGCTCTTCTCCTGCACAGTTCAAAGGCAGCAGTTCTTCTATCATCCTTAGTCATTGTCCCTCTCTTTGGTGCATAGCAAGTAATTGTAAAGACCATGGCCTGGATTGGACATGAAGTATGATTACTTATGATTTGAAGTATAGTTATTGGATATGAAGTATGCTTAGTAAATATTGCCCGAAAGTAGTGTCAGGCAGCCATAATACACAGTTTGTTTTATGCAAGTATGCTGGCAAATCTTGATTATTTATATTGGAAAATTATTTGTAAATGCCTTTTTTCCTCAAAAATTTCAAACTCATTGTTGAGTAAGAAGTGATTCACGTCTTACCCTCCATTGAATTTGTGGAGCTATAAATCACATAGGAGCAATTTGCCCTCTTTTTCTCTGGGAGCCATGGTAGATTTGAACTAATACAGAAATGTGGCTTCTGAGTTAGCAGCACAATTCCCTATGGACTGTGGTTGTTAGGTTAACAATGACTCATAGAAACCATATTTGAACAACAGAGCTGAACCTTGTCCTATCTTGCATCATCTCCATTATTTCTGATATGCTCAAGGCCATAGTTACAGTCACCATAGCAATCCATCTTGTTGAGGGTCTTCCTCTTTCTCTGACCATCTACCTTTCCCAACATAATGTCTTTTTCTAAAGACTAGTCCCTCTTAACAAGTCCATAGGATGAGTCAGAATTCCACCATCTCTATTTCAAAAGAGAACTATAAAAACAGCACAGACCCCATGAGGCAGCTGTACTTGATATTTACCAACTCCACAGTTGGGAACTCTCCCTGTCAACAACATCAGCACAAAATAGGTTCTTAAGAGATCAAACATGTCCCAACTGAATACCAATCTTACTGCTTTACTGCATCCGAAATCATTGCAATAGCTCGCAGACCACAGTGAGCCATATTAAAGAAGTCAAAGGGCTAGAGTTCAGTTGGTAGCAAGATATAATTACTCAGCCAAGACAGCTTCTGAAATATATTCATAGGCTTATGTTACAAAGCTCTCAATTCTGCCAGTTATGGCTTACCTGCCCCCTCCCCCCAGTCCCAGTCTTTTAACAAACTTAGATAAAGGCTCTTAGCTCTGATTCCTTCATGGGGTGGTAGTCCCAAGGTCTGCTCCATCTCATGTCATATCTCTGGTCCTTCACTTTGGCTATGGTGGCTGCTGCCATAGGTCTAGCTGGCACAAGAATCCCTGACTCCAACAGATGCACACTGCACGCCTGATTCTTTTTTGCTGCTAGTAACATTCTCATATTCTCCTGCTGGATTTGTACAACTTAATGGCAAGACTAGCTAATATCCTTGTAGATTGGCAAGACTAGTCAGTCCTCTTAGGGATAGCTAACACACCCTATTTGCTTATTAACTTCCATCCGCATGACACAGTCAGTCAGTGGCTAGGAAAATCATTTAGAATGATAAATCATGACACCATAAGTTCCCTGGTTATACTTTCCCCAAGACAGACTGTTCTCATGGCAGTCCATGGGACATTCAGTACTCTTTTCCAATACCACAGCTCAAAGCCATTGATTCTAGACCACTCAAGTTTCATTGTTTTCTTTATAATACTATTTCTATAGGAACAATAAAATTTGAGACTTAAGAGGTTATCTTTATGTTGCTGTTGTTTTTGTTAAGTGCCATATAGTCACTTGTGTCTCATAGTGACCCTTTGTAAAACATCTCTGAACCCTGCTCTATCCTGTGCCAGCCTCATAGTCTTCAACATGTGCACCTGCATTACCTCAGTTACTGAGTCAATCCATCTCATCCAGGGTCTTCTCTTGCACCATCCCTCAACCCTGCCAAGCATTATGTCCCTCTCAAAGGACTGTTCTCTCCTTGAAACAAGTTCAAAGCATGTCAGACGAAGCTTCAGAATCCTTGCCTCCAAGGAGCAGCCTGATTTCACCCTGTCCACCACAGACCGTTTGTTCTCTTAACAATGCACAGTATAGTTAATACTCTTCCAGCACCACAACTTGAAGGCATCAGTTCTCTTTCTATCATACCTAGTCATTGTCCAGCTTTCTTTTTTTTTATTTTAATTGTAATAATAGAAGGATAACTAATAAAACATATATGAGGATTCAAGGGAAGAGTTAGAGGTGGGAGCAGAAGGGTGAGGATTGGTATTGGTGAAATAACAGGGTTGCACAAATTGGTGGGTGAAGGGAGTGAATAAAGGAGATTAGAAAGATTCCGTGGGGACCAGAAAAGACAGGGAAATGGTGGGCATAGTCCAGGGGTATTTTATTTTATTTAACTTTTTTTTTTTTTTTTTACAAAGAGATTGTCTTTTTTTATTGTGGGTTTGCCCTTTGGGAATAAAGGCACAGATTCTATGCCTGCTTCATGCTGAAACAGGGACATTGAGATGAGGGGAAAGGGGTCTTTATTGGTGGCTTTGAGTTGAAGCTGAATGCCGCCTTTCTGTTCAGTTAGAAGATATTGTCATGACATTTTTTGACCCTCTGGACTGTAAAGTGTTTCCATGTTTAAGTCTAGTAGGAATGGCTGGCTGAACTTTGAGGCTCCTTCCACCTTCACTTTCTTAGCTGGCAGTTATATTTCCCTTTTTTCTCTGGGACCGGGATCAGGGTTCAACTCTGTCCAGCCTTCTAATACATAGCAAGTAATTATGAAAGAATGTAACCTGGATCAGGCACACCTTAGTCTCCAGACTGACATCGTTGCTCTTCAGTACTCTGACAAGGTCCCTGGCAGCAGATTTTCCCAATGCAATTCATCTTTTGATTTCCTGGCTGCTGTTACTAAGAGTGTTGATTGTGGAGCCAAGCAGACTAAAGCTGTTAATCTCAATGTCTTCATCATTTATCAGGATGCTGCCAGTGGGCCCAGTAGTGAGAATCTTTGTTTTCTTGATGTTAACCTTCAATCCTTATTGAAGGCTGCAGTCCTTGACCTTCTGCAGCAAATGCCTAAGGTCTTCCTCAGTTTCAGCAAGCTTGATTGTGTCATCTGCATAACTCAGGTTGTTGATGAGTCTTCCTCCAATCCTGATGCCACATTCCTTCTCACAGAGCCTAACCTCCTGGATGATCTGTCCCACAGGATGTCAGAAGAGATTCTGAATATTGCACTAGAATACTGAGAAGCTAAGCAAATCAGGAAGTTAAGGAGCTGAACAGAAGATTTCAAAAGTCAGCGCAAGAAGACAAAGCAGAGTCTTATAATGAAATGGGCAAAGAGCTGGAGTCAGAAAATCAAAAGGGCCAGACTCACTTATCATTTCATAAGCTGAAGGAACTAAGGAACACATTTAAGCCTCAAGTTGCAATACTTTTAAGGATGCTGTGGGCCAAATGTGAAATGATCCAGGAAGCATTAAAAGGAGATGGAGTATACAGAGTCACTGTACCAAAAAGAATTTACTGACACAGAAGAATTTCATGAAACAATGAATGATCAAGAGACTACAGTGATGAAGAAATAAATTCAACCTGCTCTTAGGGAATTAGCGAAAAACAAGGCCCAGCAGTTGATGGCATACCAATTGACATATTTCAGGAAATAGATGCTGCCCTTGACACACACACCAAATTGTGCCAGGATATCTGGAGGACTACTACCTAGTCAACTTACTGGAAGAGATCCATATTTGTTCCCATTCCAAAAAGTGACTTGGCAGAGTATAGAAATCTTCAAACAGTATCATTAATATCACATGCAAGCAAGATCCTGCTGAAAATGATACAAAAACAACTAGAACAGCACAGCATCAGAGAACTGTCAGATGTGCAGGCTGTGCTTAAAAGAGGCCACGGCACTAGGGACATTATAGCCAATGTTAGATGGATCTTGGCTGAGAGCAGAGAGTACCAGAGCAATGTCTGTGTTTCATTGACCATTCGCAGGCATTTGACTGTGTGGATCAAAACAAAATGTGGCTAACTCTGAGAAGAATGAGAATACAAAAACTTGATTGTGCTTTTGCAAAACCTATTCTTTTTTTTTTCTCTATATTTTATTAATTTTCATAAACATTTACAGAGATTTTGGGTTTCCATTCATTCATTGTTGCACTATTCTCTCTACCCTCCTCCCAGTGTGTTCTTGTCCAAATGCCACAGTGCTTGTCAATGTCAGTTCTGATTAATCTTCTTTGTCAGTGTGTCCTTTGCCATTCCCTATCACTCCTCCCTGAGAGAGACTTCACCCTGAGTCATAAGGAAAAGGGGATGGCGTATTCTCTTAGCTACTTCCTGCTGAAAAGGGAGGCAGTTGTTGAGACAGAGCAAGAAGACACTGCATGGTTCAAAATCAGGAAAGGAGTACACCAGGGATGCATCCTATCTCCATGCCTATCTATCTTTATGGTTGTTGTTATTTTTGTTGTTGTTATGCACCATGGAGTCATCTGCTACTCACAGTGACTCTATGTACAATAGCCCTAAACCCTGCTCTATCCTTCTGTCATCCCTAGTCATTGTCCAGCTGGATTGAAACTCAACATTAAGAAAAGATTCTCACCACTAGACCAATTGGCAGCACCTGATAGATGGGGAAG